GTCATTGACTGTACAGCGGTCATATATTTCATTCTCACATCTGCAAATTGCAACAATTTGATTTTTAAAATAGGTGAGTAGGCTATCGATCAATTTATATTGATAAAACTGAACAATATAACTACTGAACTAACTAATCCCATACAGCCATACCAGACTTTGAATGGTACCTTACCGGTAACCAGACAAGAGGCTGTGGTTCGCAATATGGTTAAGCCGTTCTATAGGCTTTCCTCTCCATCGGAATAACTATGTAAATCTTATCCTTTTTGTAAAGTCTCTTCCTCTGCATATTTCTGTATTTACTGATTTATGTACACTAACCTGCTGCACATGTTGAAATTTTTGTGAAGTTCCTTCCTCTGCATACGGTACAATACGTATTTATGCAAATGTTGTTTCCAAAAAAATGTAACGAAACAGCGAAAAATCAGAAAGGCATAGCAGCTGTGCAGACATGCTGGCTCATTACAAAAACTTAATTTCAATGCAGGCACACACTCTAAACAAATATAATTAATGCAACTAGTACAGTAATACTGTACTAGTCTACCGATATCGTACCTGTACAGCTGTACCGGTACGTACCGTAACGGACTACGGTACCGGTATCGGTAAGACGGTACGTAAACCTGTAAACGGTACCGGTACGTGCCGTACAGGCCACAGGGACTGTCATAGCTTTCCCAGCTATCGTACCGGTACCGGTATCACTTTCGCTTAACACGGGAACCACAGTCTACAAATACTGAAATATATGGAAAGTGAACATTGATTGATTGATTGAACACCGAGCGAAACAGTACCTCAAAAACCTTTCATTGCGGGTACCGGTAAGTCGGTAACCCCAAACATCTCGATTCCCCATAAACAACTCTTAGCGGAGCAAGAATTACGATCGCTTTTCAGTTGATATGCCTTCGCGCAATCGCCACAAGGTGTCACTATTTTTTATTCTGATCACTTCTTTGAACACAAAAAACGAATCTCTCGAAGTCCACAGGAAATTTTAAAATAAATAAAAGTAATAGCCTTCTGGAGAAAAATTTTATCTCCAGCCACTGAAAATTTCAAAGCAATTGGTCCAGTATTCGAAGAGAAAAGCGACTTTTTAAAAACGTGTCAAAGAACAAGAACAACAAGAGAGCTATGCTCAAATATATGGACACGTAGAGTCACATAATTTTGATGACGTCATAGCAAAAAAAGAAGTAATAGCCTTCTGGAAAAAATTTTTATCTTTAACCACTAAAAATTTCAAAGCAATTGGTCCAGTATTCGAAGAGAAAAGCGACTTTTTAAAAACGTGTCAAGCGGTACTGAGTTAGCAGTCAGGCAGCATCTTACCTGTACACTGTAGGCCATATACGGTAATTGATCACAGAACAGTTGTTCCCTTGCAAATTTTATGTTGTTTACACTTTAGGACAGATAATTGATCACAGAACAATTCTTCCCTTTCAAATTTTATGTTGTTTCCAGTAGACTCTCATCAAAATAAACAAATATAGTAGGCTACAAGTGCTACAACGCTTGCATTACTGCACTGGTAGGACCGTGAAAGAATAAGTTACGGTAATTTCATTGTGGTAAGACACCGGTACCGGCACCAGTACCAGTATCGTACTTACGTACTGAGCTACCAGTACCGGTTAGCAGTCAGCCAGCATCTTACCTGTACACTGTAGGCCATATACGGTAATTGATCACAGAACAGTTGTTCCCTTGCAAATTTTATGTTATTTACACTTTAGGACAGATAATTGATCACAGAACAATTCTTCCCTTTCAAATTTTATGTTGTTTCCAGTAGACTCTCATCAAAATAAACAAATATAGTAGGCTACAAGTGCTACAACGCTTGCATTACTGCACTGGTAGGACCGTGAAAGAATAAGTTACGGTAATTTCATTGTGGTAAGACACCGGTACCGGCACCAGTACCAGTATCGTACTTACGTACTGAGCTACCAGTACCGGTACCGAACCTGTAGGTCTGATATTCCGTTCCGCATACGATAGGCTATAAAACTTGCATTGCAGCATTAGTAATACCGCGGAAGGAATAAGTCAATTTCACTGCGTTACGGCACCGGTATGGCAACTTACCAGTACCGACCTACAGTAGCTGTAGTACTGAGCAAGACAATCGATCGCGAAACCGCTTGAAATAAGTGTAAAACAGTGTTCCCATGAGTAAAAATAAATACCGCGAAATTTTGTATGAAATATCATATCTCATAGGATTCATATAAAATTTAAGAATAAACAAAAGTAATAGCCTTCTAGCGAAAAAATTAATCTTCAACCACTGAAAATTTCAAAGCAATTGGTCCAGTATTCGAAGAGAAAAGCGACTTTTTAAAAACGTGTCAAAGAACAAGAACAACAAGAACAAGAACAAGAACAACAACAACATAATATTGAAACGATCGTTATGTCCACTACGTGTCCAACAACAACAACAACAACATAATATTGAAACGATCGTTATGTCCACTTCGTGTCCAATAATAATAATAAAAGGGCACGAAAGAATTAACAAGATTCAGAATCGGAACTGCAACTGCAAAGTCACACCAAGCTGCTCCTGATACCAGAAGTTGGCCCTGCACTTGGTAGTAACTGTGGTGTGTGATGAATATCCTTATTTTGTTAGGTTGTTTTGCATTTATCACTGTCATATAAATCACAACTTGTTCATAATCACCTGGTAAATCTTAGAACCGAACCAAGTGGTGGGTGTTTGGCCATCTGACTATGGGCTGACTATATAACAATGAGGTAGTGCCCAGTGAGAGCAATTCTTCCATATTTATTATCAGGGGATAAAACCAGGCAGCTTTGATAAAATAACTCAGACGCTCCATTGCTTTCATGTTTTTTGTTTGTTGTGCCCAAAAGCATATATCTAGCATGTATTTTTATCCTATACAACACAATATCTGCAAAACTGTATAATTTGTAGTAATTTTCTTGGATTTACTTGCCTGTTCCTTCATCATATATTTTTTTAAATCTGTTATATTCTATTTCTACATTGATTGATGAATAAACTATATTGTAAAACCTATCACATAACCGACTGTTTTTGGTTGAACCGGTATGATTGGAACTCTGGCTCGATCTAACTTTGTGGGATTAGCACCAACTACAGAAGACAAAACTGTTGGAACTATTTTGTTCCCTCCATATAGGTTGTTACCAATGCTGAGGAAGGCTTGTACATGCTTGGCTCAGCGGAAATCTTTTAATCCCCTCAATTTCATCTGTTGGATAGTCTTGGTTAGTCCATTTAAACCATGTTTATCACTATAACATTATTGGTCTTGTAATTTTATGTGGTATGTAATCGATCATAATACCTCAATAAACATGTTGAATCTAATCTTTCAATAGTATATTTGCACCCATCTCACTGAGCTAATAAATCTGTGTTTCTATGATACGACATAAACTCAAGTGCCCTCACTGTGCCTAGCATGTACAAATTGCATCAGAGACTTGGTGACTATCCAGCGACACCACTATTTGAGGATGATGTGGTGGCAGAGACTCCTGAACTTATCTATAGCACTTGGCTTTGAAATCTAGCGTTGAACCAAGATTGACGACTGAACTATCGTGAATGTATCTGAAAAAAATATTCAGATTTCTGTAGTTTGTGCAATGTTTCCAAGAATGTATCTAAAAGACTTTTTAAACTGCCCCTGCATTTCATTTGTTCCCATACTAAACCCACCAATTCAGCCCTAACTTGGACGCTATCTATCAGTCTATGAACTATGGGATATGGTACCGTACCGGTAGTCACGCAGGTCTCCCAGTTCTATCACCACCCTCTGACATGCTTCAACCATATAAGTTTAAATATCACCTTTCAATGAAAAGTTTTGTATCCTTCTCTTGCTGGGGGAAAGAAAAGTTCCTGGAGAACCAAGTCATAGAAAAGTCATCTCTGAGTGATTCCATTTTTGTATGTTAAATGAGCTTTTAGAACTAAGTTAGGTACGTTAACGGCAATGTGAAGGCGGAATAACGTTAATAATAGATCACTTGACAATATGTTATAACTTTAGAAGCACGAAAATACCGCTATCACCAGTGAAATGCCATTCGAAGGCCTTTGAAACGAGCAATGTACCACTCTATCGCCCTACACAAGCCTGAATATTCGCAATGTTTGTCTGAGCGACCAAAATCATAACAATAAAGGTCAAAGGTCGGGGAAAGGTCCATGGAATTCGGTTATTGTATACGATGACGTTAGCAAATTTAGAAATTGCGCACCTCGTGGCGGCTGCTCGTTTGCGTTTGTAGTGAGGCCAAGACTGCGGGCCGGTAACGGTAGTCTACTGCGACGGATTGCAAACACGCACTACTTCGATTTGGCCTCCGTGTGCATATACTTGAGCATCAATCTCTTTAATTAAACATCTATTGTGCCTTTAAACATATGTTTTTGTTTGTTGCGGTACTTTCGTTCTTCTGAGTGCAGTTCTGATCTCGGTGAAGTGGATTTAATTAATTTATTTCCTCGCACGTGTATTGGTACCAAGTGATTAGCTATGGTATATAATCCGAGAAGTGGTGATTGAGAGGGATTATGTAATATTACAAAATGTTCCCACATAAGCCTCTTAAATAGGATTACATATTATGCAGTTTGTTAGGGCTCAAAATCCATCGCAAGATCTTCCAACGCCTTTAGGTGGTCACAAACACTAATTTAGTATTGTGGCCGATACTATTAAGTTTTTTAATAATTTGCTAGTTTAGACAAAGATTAATCAATTATTTTAGATCTAGGAGTTCCTGTACTGAAAAGTTCAAATTTCATTGGACTGTAATGGTTTATAATCCTAACGAGGGGCTGTGTTGGGTTTCCAATAAAGGCTTTTTGCACTTATAACGGTTGACAGCAATACATTGACCAGTTCGTTTAGAAAAACCAGATATCTTGCTCAAATATTTTCGAAATATTAGGACCCTAGTGCATCATTAAGCTATAAATGACATTTTTGATATCAATATTTACCCTTTTTATTATTATTTTTATTAATTAAATCGACATTGGTTTCAGAATCCAACAAAATACAGTATAAAAGGAGAACATATAAGAAATAGATAGAAAAATGAAAATAGTAGTATAATAGTACTAGAAGAAATTTAAATGACCTATTAACAAAATGTACAGATATTGCTCTTAATGAAATATTTTCATTCACACACACAACACTCATGTATGGATCACAGATGTAATTTTGGAATGTACATTAGGGGAAACTACCGTATGGTGCTCGAAATGTTTACCAACCCGGATTAACAATAACACACAAACTTTTACGAACTCCAAAAGACGCAGATGTTTATATTAAAATGAAATGGGTCGTGCAATTAGAAATACACAAGGATTATTTAGTCAAATCGACTTAAGAGATTAATCAAAAGAGTTTTCCATTTGTTTCCTTTTTCTGTTGTTGAGTAAAACACAGTGTCGGAACCAAATGAGAATGTAAAAAGCCAATGAGTTTAAAACCTAATAGTAACCCATTTGTTAAGTAAATGAACGTTAACTATGTTCAATCTAATTTGTATTTCTGAGATGACACATATCTTCCAATACAAGATTAAATGACGGCCGGAGGGTTCCCCACCAATGCTGGATCCAGCAAACATTTTCGCCTAAAGAATCGAATCATATTATGTGAAATCTTTTATTGTTTTGTTGTCTTCAGTGAGTACAGTTATAATTTTTCAGTAGTTTCGCATATCTTATTAAATTTTTTGAAATTCTCAGTGCGCATAATACCATGGTAAACACCACCGGAGAATTGATCTGGTTATTATGTTATGCTTGTATAAAAAACGATAGTTTTGTATTAGCCCCAGAACAGACCAAATCGTCTTTAGATGATCTTTATTCAAAAATTCGTTCAGTATTATTAAAATTTCCCGTTTCCGTTATACATAAGTTTTGAACGATTGATTTTGCTGCAATTGTGTCGGGCCATTATTAGAAGTTGTTTTGGGGGGAGCGCTCATAATAGAGGCTTGTCGGACCAGCCCTGAACGACCGGAATATGTAACCGCGAGTCCAGTGGTCGCCCCAACTCCTGCTGAACCGTTAGTCACAGTTGTGGCGTAATATTCATTCTGTTTTGGCTTATTTGTTCGTTGAATAGGAGTGGTTGATTTCAGACGATCTTTCCCGTTGTTATTGGTTGATAAAAGACGGCTTGAATTTGAAGAAATAGATGGGGTGCTCATTCTTGGCCCCACTCGTGGTTCGCAAGACCCTAACGTCAAAAATATCGCGGATAAAGTACCGACTACCATTGTACCCCACCCTACAAAAAGAGAGTTTCCGTATACGAATTGTACATTTGATATCATTCCGAATAAACCAGGATACTCTTCTTCGTCAAATTCTTTTGCAATGTCATCGGCAAACCTGTAAAATAATATATTTTGTTTCCAAATCACGCATAACTTATTACACTCAAATATGGGATATATTTTAGTAGAATTGTTCATGACATGTCCACAAAAAATGTTATATATATATATATATATATAGAAGTTAGATGATGGGCACTGCTTTATCTTGAACAAAACCAAATTTTGCGATAATAGGTATCTGCATCCTAGTTTTTAATATCGTCAAATTATGCAATAAATGTCTAAAGTACCTGGCTAAGTATTCTATAAATTAAATCAGTTGAAAAAATATATAATCACTACCACTATTTCATGTTTGTTTGCACTATCTATGTCAAATTTTCAAATAAATATGTAGATTTGAGTAAATAAATCGTGTGTCATTCATCGTATATGGAAATGTATAAGTTTACCTAAAACCAGCGCACATCTATTTCTACCAACAAAATACTTCTTCTAAGAGTCACCTGTCGTTGAGACAACTTCAAACACTAAGATATCGTAATTAGGTTCAGTTTGGCCATATTAAATACGCTGTAAGACTGAAAATATATCAATCCGAAACTAAAATAAATGTTCGCCACTTTTTCGCAAAATCAAATATAAGCTGTAATATACAGCCTCCAGACTAGAAAAGGTAAAAAGTTCAATTTAAAATGTATTTAATATGATTGAATTTGTGAACACTTTCCATTTTCTAAACATCGTAATCGCAGTTAAACTTGGTCTCAGTTGAATTCCTCTTATTCCACATTGAATCGATTGAATAATATTTGCCTTTATTAAAACTCATATTTTTAATCACAACTTTCAATCAATAGCAATAACTCCAAAAACATAAAATTATTTTTATTGAAAGATAGGGAAATTTAATTAGACAGTCAAAGTGCGGTGCTAATTGCAAGATTTCCTTCATTTTGTCACTTCAATTATTCAAACTCGAAGTGAAGTCGACATTTCAGCGAAAATGGCAGTTTGGGATGAACTCCAATGTAGTTTAACTAGTTTTGTTAGTATATCAAGTATGGAACATAAAACAATTCAACAATTTCTTGGACGTTTTTATCCGTATTTTATATATGAACAATTTGGATCTAAAATTTGACTGAAATTTATCAACTTATAACTTTCACAAATACATATTTTCAAAAGGATTGACAATTTCAAGGTATCTTGCGCATAAGAAATTAGCTACTCTTTATACAATGCACAGACGAAGAATGTCTTCAATTGGCAATAAATTATGAGTTTGTACGCATAAATTTATAATTAAATTGCCGAAGAGTTATTCTCTGAAATTTGACAAAATAGGTCATGTCAAATCCAATACACGAATAAAAGCTTATTCTAATGAGGCGAGAATGAAAATATTGATATCAACAAATCACGCTATCGTAAAGTTTCGTTAACAATGTCAGACTTTGGACGTCATAAAGTGAATTTTATTTCGAAAGACTTCTTATCCACTTAATAAAATAGCTTTAATATTTTTGAAGCCAGTGAAAACGGACCCACTATCAATATCACAAAGCACAGAATTAGGATGAAGTAGTCAGTCCCTTTTATTTCAATGGACCACGTATTCGCTTTGCGGCCTCAAATTAATAAGTTACGAAGTACGTAAGCACATTCAGTTTTGTCGTTTTCGTCATTGTTTCTAGCCAAGTTATGGTCAATGACGTAGTTTAGTTTTAGGTACAAAATTCATTATGCAAAACGTGCACAACATTAGGATGGCCCCAAGTGATTACACGTTTTACAATATTCATTTAAAAACTGGCAACCATGACTAAATAATTTTAATATAATTAAAAGATGAATCATTTTTTCCATATATAGATTCCAACTTTTCACGTTGGAAGGGGGTTTTATCATGCCTAATTTACACCACATTACGTAAATGTGGAAATGACGTTTGACATAAAATAAGGTAATATATTATATTTCAATGAAAATTTGTTCGCCATTTCTGGCATTTGGGAATTGGAAAAATATTAATACCCAATGCCACGTAAACTGCTTAGTTTGTATCGGAATAAAAGTGTAGCTTTTTCTCATGACCTTCCAACATCGTGTTCGGGAGAAAACGTCATCTTGTAGCTGTCAATTGATATTAGAAGACCTAACGAAGCGCCGAAAATCAGTTTAAGTAAATCCCCTAAAATTGGTATAATCGACTTGTAATTTTGTAAAAATATCGGAATAAAATCATTTCTCGTCCTTCAATACAAAAATCGAGTTTTGGAATTAACCATAATTGCTTCGCTTCTTTTTATGGTAATATGATACCAGAAAAACTGGTTCTGTTAAAATGTATACAGATTTTCTATTTTTTCTAGGTATTCTAATTTCTTTCAAGATTGTTCACATTGAAATGTCTAAACTAATATTTTTTTGAAGGTTGATTTTATGTGAATAGTTTAGTGTCCTTAGCCAATCACAATAATATATTTATTAGGTTTCCATTTAAAGAATATCAATTTGGGATGTTGATCGTTTCAATCATTTGAATCATTTGTTTACCAATCGTTTCATAAGTATTATAGCAAACAATTTTTGTTCATATTTTTCATATATATCACATAAATATAATTTCCAAAGCGCATTTTAAGATTCATATCAAATGAGCCGTCAATAAAAAGATTTCACGATATATCGTCCAAAGCGGAAACATTGAATATTTCATCCCATGCCATCAAATATGTATTTAGTGGTAAAATGCCTCAAGAATCAAAAAGTTAACACATTTTCACGAGAAAAATTTTGTTCAATTGGTCGTTCTTATAGTAATACCGAATATACAAGACTAACTTAGCATCATAAAATTATCAATGATTTTAATGAAACGAATTTGAAATGCTTTACAATTGTACAACAGGTAACTTCGAAGTACTTACAGGTAAGATCGTGGATGAAATTATGTTTGGCCAAATATACTCATAAAACATCAATAAACATGTGTGTTCTATATAAAACCCCAGTAAGATTAGACCGATAACAATGCGACTCAGTTTTGATTGGAAGTTAACCAAAATTTATTTTTAAAATATGAAGATAATTTACAATAATTGAAACCAAAAAAGGCCTAAGCAGATTGTGTAGCTAAATATATTTTCACCTTTGCTAAAGACACTATCTTAGCGTTTGTTGAGGTCGTATATTCCCCTGGGTGTCGTGGCGCTCGAAGGTTATATTCCAACTAGCTGATTTCTAAGCCATAATTTGATTTAATTAGTGAGCCCAAACCGTAGCAAATGAAATATATCTTAATAAGGTAGAATCAAGTTATCGTTCGCGTGCCACGACACTCATGGTGGATATACTAAACTTTTGAAAATATCTGCAGCAGATTGATTGATATATGTATTTTACCTTTCGATGTTGTTGAAATGGTGTCTAGAATTTATTTATTTGCACTTACTAAACAAAAATTGAAGTGATACTTATAAGGCACTCTTACCAAGAAACGGCAGCTCCAGCAAGAATTCCGGCAACTCCAAACAGGAAAGCCCCAAATCGTGCGAGCCTGGACTTCGTAATTCGATCTCCTCCGATCCTTGTACATTGCATGCCTTAAAATCAATAACAATTTGATTAGATATCGGAGAATCGATTTCCAGACTGTTTATTACACAAATAATAGTCTGTACTTGGTGACCAGCCGCAACCTTGTGAGAATATGTGATTTTTTTTGTGTTAAAGATTGTAATTTTACGTTATTTCAGACTCTATTTGCAATTGTACAGCATCAGTACATTTCGCTAATTAAATAAGGACCCTTCTTGCCGCGACTGAATGGATTCTCTGTCTGAAATTCTCTTTTGGCCTCTTTCTTTAGCAAATTAACTGAAGGAAAAAGTAAGGTCCCAGACCGTACTTCGCTTTTTAATTATTTATGTACAGTATTGGCGCGATATGACAACACTACCGCAGGCTGAGCCCTACGCAGTTCAGAGGTCTATACACACGTAGAAAGTCGCACAGAACAGACGAACGTTGTGCGAGTCACGTGACTTTGTTGTTTTTCTGACGGCCAACAACATCATAGAATTCTAATTTTCAATCACAGATCACAGAAATTTGAAAATCTGTGTTTTTGGAGTAGGGTATAGAAAGAACAATTTTGAAAAAGTAGGAAAATACAACCCGATTTAATAAGTGTTGAAAAAGAGAATATAACAGGAAATGTTTTTGGCAAATGCGACTTATTTCTTTTTCATGAAATTTCTTTAATTCCATTTTGATATATCATAGATAACCCCTTTCACTCACTATTTTATTTCTTATTTAAAAATCTATATCATAATTTTATTTTACATTCTTCAAAAGTGTTAATTTTGGATTGATATTTTGAAATCAATACGTCCGATAAGTTTAAACCCAAATGAGTTCCCAAATCTACAAACTAGTTAACTTTCGGGATCCGAGATAAACCCTCTTGATGGATAAATGTAGACAGCAGATAATATTCTGGTCAGCGAGTAATTTAATAATATTATTCAATTTAAGGATTGATGTACACTCATATCATCTCATCCCCTGCTATTTATTAATCCCTGAAACATCGGCCGATATCAGTATCGAAGCGAAGTGATAATTCCAGAATCAATTGCCGTACACGGTCCCGTTCTGACATGGGCAGACTACGGCCCGTAATTCAATCTGACCCGTCTGATGCTGTCACAACCGAACTAAAACCAAATTTTGGCGTTAGCCAAATTAGCTAAAAATAGATCAAGAAATTTGTTGAGATTGCGATTAAAAATTTTTTTGGCACGAGTCGTATTGTTTTCCACTTTTGCTTTTGTAACACTGTAAACATTGTTCATAAAATGTTTTACACACACTTACATGGGCAGCCAGTCTAGGTGGGCAAAATTGTTGACCCCTGGTCCAAAATCCTTTCCCACCACTGGCTGGTTGATTCACCTACTAGATTATTAGATAAGTTATGATGAACCAGAAAAAAAAAATTTGTCAGTGTAATTGATATATTTGTATTCTATACAATAATTTTTTCATCAAAACACGATGATTTGTTTCAGAAATTCCGAATCATCACAATAAATTTGGTTGATAAAAAATTTGAGCTTGATCAAGGACTGTCTTGAATTTCAGGAATGCATTATCAATATGAATTGTTTACATTCAACCACGCAAAGAAACTCAATCCCTCCATACATTATTAAAAAGTGATGGAAGAGACTGGAGCTTATTTTGCGTAAAATGGCGCACGGTAGTTGGGAAAATTTTGATACAAATATTTAAAAACGGTAAATTTATTCATTTTCATTATTTGGATTTGTTATATTTATACCTCACAAAAGAAACACTAACTATAAATCCATTATATATTGAATACATAACGGTAACAAAGATTTTAATAAGGGACGAGTTGCAAGAGGCAAAAGAATGAATATATCTGATAAGGTTTGGACCCACTAGCCCAAAGCATTTGAATGTTCGGATTATTGGGTTCATATCGCTGTCAACACATGATTGAGCTAATAGTATCATGGCAACCATGTAAAATATACCCTATTATGTCATTGCCCTGACCAAAGTACAAGTTGTTAACGAAGATTTTATTGATCGGGTAACTAACGTTAAAGAGAGAAACCTACAACTTGTAGAAACGAGTACGTGTATTTTGTGCACTTGTATAATTAGCTACGTTCGGTATGCATCATAATAGGGATGCGTTCGTTCCCGACGTAATTAACCATTCAGAAGTCTACAATTTATACGTGACATCACATACATCATTGATAAATTTTGTAGTCAACGATCGGACCATGTATGGCTAGTGATTGGTAGTTCTAATGGTAACCAATGTTATTCTGTCCAATATGGTACAATATGAATATTTACAAACGATTGAGGCAATGCTTTATGATAGTAATAAACAAAATAATTTTTCACATAAACGCTATGGTGCAAAACTTAAGCCGTATCAAATCTATCACTAAAGAACATCTGTAGCCCATACTAGACTAATTATAAACTTGGCATTAAAAGTCAACCCACAAGGATGACTGGATGGAATATATCAATTATTCAGAACATGGCTCTTTTGTTTCCTACAGGCGAATAAGCATTAGGGCATGCAAGAAAAATTCTTTTAATTTACCGAGTCAAAGCACTCCATCGGACATGAAAGAATTTTTTTTATTCATTAAGGGATTATTGAATTAATGTGCGACCATTTATCCAATCCGACGTTAATGTAATAAAAAAAGTTATCGAAACGTCAAGGGGTGAATAATGATCACAAATTCGCTACAAATATCAGAGGTAAATTTACTACAGTTTACAACTAACTCTTTTTCTACGTTTTTTTTTTATATACAATTATGGCACTAAACAGAACAGCAGGCGGGTATTAAAATCAATAAAGGGTTCATAATACAAGTTGTTTATAAAGTTCAATACAATTTCAATTTTGTAATGTAATCAGTTTTGAATATATATCTTGCCCAGGTTTGTTTTATTTTAATTAGTGTTTATTCGAGTTTTTACTTCATGTAATATACATTGAAGGGCTAAAAAAGTAGATAATAATAGCATCGATAAATTTTCTTCGCAATATAAAAAACTTCATTTTTGTAAGATATGCGTCGCAAGAATTCAAAATTTAAAAAACAAATTGACAAATTTTAAACTTTTCACTATATTCAAATAAAATCAGGCTATCGGAAATTCAAAGGATTTCGAACACGTCTAGCGTAAAAGGCCTAACTTCCAATTTAAAGGTCAATGCTGTCAAAAGATTTATAACGTATAAAATGCTGTTTTTTTACGGAAAAGTAAGTATAGGGTCGTATTATGTCGGTCGGGGTCGAAGTTGCCATTAAAAAATACCGTTTGCGTTAGTGAAATTTGTGTTTTTGTTCAATCCATTTCGAATGTTTTTAACGATACTATGGTACTTGAAAGGATATAAAAATAACTCTTTCGTAATCCAAATTGTACCTATCAATTACTACTAACGAAGTTTAACTATACTTGTGGATTTTCCAATATCGATAAAAAATCGAAAAATTCCAATAGTGAACTAATCTTCGATTCGTGAAAAGAGAGTACAATTTAGGTTTATGCAATAGTTGATAGCGACTACATGGAATTACCCCCGAATTGATCGAAAATATCGCAGAACAAAGATGTGACGGGTAAAACTCAATATCGGTCGATTAAATTTAAAGAAATTTATTCCGCTGCGTAAAGTTTGGACGCAAAACAATATCTACGTTTTCCGATATTTTGTATGATATTGATAATTGGTAATAACTGAGAGAAAAACAAAACTCCGATATACTCGATATTTTATTAATGAACTTGTACGGATTCGAGTATGGGCCGATGATATTATTCACCGACGAGAAGCCGCTCATCTATGGCATATCCTCGATAGAGAATACTATTTCAGGGGTAGAGTTGACGACTGTCAAAAATAAAAATCGATTGGGCATAATTGTCACGATATCGGAAGCATTGACTGTAATTTATTCACTCACAAAAGCTCATTCATTCATGCAAATTTTGTATCAGCCCATCAGTAGGCTAATTATTTTTCCAAAAATCTTTAAATTGTGTATGTGTATGAAGTAAAATTGCCTGTTCATCTTATTATATACTATGTAACTTGGCATGTATTCAAAAAACATTCTGATTATTCAACAAATTCAGTTTATGTTTGCTAAAAACTATATACCTAAATTCTAGAAATTTTCAGCAAGTAGATTCACAGGTGCGTCAACACCATCGGCCCTCTCAAATATACTTTTGTAAGAACTTTTGTCAAAGTAGGCATTTTGAATAACGTATTCGATATTAATCGTAAGTGGCTGGCTACTTTCTAAAATATTAATAATTGTTGAAGCAATATACTCAACTATGATGACACATCACATGCTAAAATCTTGTATTCAAATTCCATGCCCACCACGTGACCCCGCAGGGTGTAATAAATTGTGTAGGCGATTCCGAGCCGTAAAGATTCGGGTTCTATCAAACTACAGTATCTTTTTACCCAACAGTGGCTAATTGTACAAAGCCTCGTTCGGACGTTGTATAAGAAATAATAGTCCCTTTCAGTACTGTATTTTCCTGTAAAGTCAGTTGAGTCATAACGACAAAAAAGTTGATTTGAATGTATTACGCGCCAAGTTGCTTATAAATATAAACCGCAAATATTTATAGTTACATTTATTGTCTAATATGATCATAGCGTCTTTAACTTCATATTATTTTTATAGCGCCGATCATACTTATAAGATTTCAAAATAATTTCATGTAGTTAGGTTACCTACACCAACATTGATAAATTTGAGTTCATACATAAGTCAGCCTAGTGCAATTTATTAAAACTAATTAATGCAGAAATGAGAATTGGAAATTCACAGGGGTAAACGTTTATCCACTAGTGATTCTTCATATAGCAAGAATTACCCCACGTTAAATAATTCATTCATTCAAGTATCTTTTGATATGATACTGTGAAAGTGTGAAATTCTTCCTAATGTAAGTGAAATATTAAAAATAAGAAATAACAGTATTTGTGTTTATTTTTTGTCAAGTTATTTCTCAATCAGTGAATTTTGCTACATGTTTTGAACAGTGTACGTAGAAAAAAGTAAAATTAATTAATTCAGAAGCTCATATTTAATTTTCATACATGCATTACTTCGTAATATGCATATAGAATAATCAATATGTCTTTTGTACCATGTAATTTGATCGAGATAATGGCATAGGACCTTTGCTTATTGTAATTTATCAAACCCAAATTCATTGATGGTTATTTCTAAGATTTCATAATTATTTTCATTGAGGCTATATATGATTCCGTTTGGGCACACAAGAGTTGTAATAACGCAAATGGCACTTTAAATAAATTCCACTATGTGTAAAAAAAATTCTCAAGTCTCTTTTTTATCTTAACTGATTTGGTGATCGAATTTCAAATATCCATAGGGTTGATTATAAATACGTTTTCAAAATATTACATTATGTGAGTTAGCAGTTTGTTTATCTGTCGCAATTTAAATTTCAAATACTGGGGCAGACAAAATTGAGTCTGTGCCAATAGATATTTACGGTTACAATCGCACCAACTCAAACTAAAGTATATATATTCATTTTGTTTACATCAATGATCGATCGCTTGCAACTGACTAATCACATTTCACATAAATGTTCACATTCAAATTCGACTAAATACGGCTCCAAACTTAATATTAATATTAATCAAGTGACAAAGTAAACATCCGTCCGTCTTAACTAAATCAAAAATATGATTTATTAACGGCTAAAGGCTATTAGGAAGTTGTAAACGTGGAACGATATTGGAATAAGCTTTCCGATGACGTGGTTGTAAATAATGAAGTACTCAGCCCTTCAGCAGCCGAATTTGTTTTGCTTTCCGTGGCGATACTCTAACCAAACTTTATATTGAAAATAAAAGTCACTTACCTAAAGGCGTAATTGCCACTCCAAGAAATGATAGTATTGAGGCTATGACTATCAGAACTCGACATCCCCTTATAACGGTTGGTAAAACGAAAAATGGGTTAACCAAAGGCTGGCACTCAATTGCTCCGCTCGTCCTTACAAAGCACGTTACCCACAGTCCTCGGTAAACCGATGCACCGGTAAAAGATTGTTCGTCTGCTAGATTGTTGTGTTTCCAGTCCGGAAGTGAAGTTGAAACTATAGAACCCACAAGCGTGCCTATACCGGCTAGATATCCAATCATTTGGCAGCTTGATATTACCATTATATACTGCTATACCTTTGAAACCTTTCTGTCATGTCAAGCTTTTGTGCTGTAGTCACTAAATAAGCATTTCTGTATATATCTGGCCAACAAAATATTAATATAAATAAAATGTACATATTTTATGCCCGAAAACCAGTTTTAAGAATAATGATTGTACAGTAAAAACAAGCAAATTAAATATAATCTCACAAAACGTCAACGGTATATCGTTAGCTCGCGTAACGTTACACCTCTGATTGAGATGTGCCGGTAAACTTGTCATCTACCGTAAACGACCGCGATGAGTAAAAAAGACATCATCATTGACTGAACCCACGAGAGTATCGAATGCCGTAAGATTTCCCCGAGGAAGAGAAAGCATCGATAATTAATTAAGACAACCCGACTCTCAATAAAAAGTATAATTAATGAACATAAACAAGTTCGGTGTAAATATTTCACTACTATACACAAATCGATTGATTCAATTTTGTCTTTAGTCTGTGTCTATATACCAAAGCCTAACGGTTGAAAATTCAATTCGTGAGATTCAAGCAACATTAAAATCCCTTGTAATTATTTTGATAATCACTCCTAAATTAAAATATCAGTTTTTATGACATTCGTCGTCACAGATGACCGAAAATCTATATAGTTGATGGCTTCCTACGATTTGAATATAATATTTAAAATTGAAAACTCCTTGAAGCTTTAAACTCAAGATTAGTTCCTGATTATAGAAACTTTTTCACAGTCTATAATAACGCTAAGTCATATAAAATAATATGCATAGCTGAAATAGCTAAACTTGACGGATATTATTTTATAAGGTATGCTGATCTCAACGAAGCATATCAATGACGTATACGATATAAGGTCTAATAATAAAAATTTTATAATTTAGTATTTTTCATCTGGTCAACTTTGTTTAAATCTTCTCCTATTAGTCCATGCTTCAGTTGCGCTGCTCATGCCAATTCAATTATCATTGGAATATGAATAAATTAGAAAACGAATCAGAAAAATGTTTCTCACTACCAAGCATAAACCATGGTCATCCAGCATCAAACCATGTAAAACTATGAAAAGTATTTTTCTATATTCATTTGTTCGCGTTCCCCACCACCATAAGTTTTCAATATATATTCAGAAGAAGGAAATAAAATTGAAATTCTGATATAACTGCACTCAACACAAATTGACGGCCTACGCAATCCACCCACATATGTCGGACAAATACTAAGACTTCTAATAAACCGAACCCCATTAGTGCGTCGCATGATGATCCGTTCTTCGATTTCCTAATCCGCTTACATTATAGGCATGAATAACTTGTGATTTGCACTTTCACTTTAAAATTGGTCTTTTTTAACGCCTTTACTATCAAACTAGTCAAGTATTGTTAGGTATTGTTAATTATTGTTAGCCAAGCATTGTGCTATGACATAAGCATGAAGGTTTATGGTATAATCAAATCGTTATACACTAATTAATGCTCATTGTAATAATATGATACGAGTACATAGATTTCATTTTCGACCTTTTCTATTAACGCTCTGATCCTTTATTTTGTATTCATGAAACCTTTGCGCATTCAATAGCAATTTAATCAGAATTTTCCACGGTATTGTCGCGCCACAATGGACCTCTAGTAAACCTGGCATGGAAATATCCATTTGATTCAATACCGAATACGAAGAATAATATAAACAAATTGGAAAGCAAATTGCAGATTGCAACATAATGCCATGACAAGCAGATTGCAATTTGGTGTGCCGTCGTATTGCGGGCAGAGCAGCAATCAAAACAACGCCAAACTGGTATACTTGAAAGGGGGGTAAATACATAATTATATTGTTTATCGAAACAATTTATTCTTTTTATTTATGAAAATGGGATATCCTGTGTTAGAGTAGTCATATAACCGGTTCTTCATCCACAGCTCACGACACTGAGGGTTTTGCGTTTGCATCGCTTCTATAGAGCGTGTTTATTCTATAACCTTCTGCTATATGATCCAATTTTCGAACGGTTTCGTGGCGTGCATTTACAACTTTTAGTCGTATAAATTGTGATATTTACTTATGGTTCATTACCTGCTATTTAGACACCAAGACTAGAAAATGTATTTTGCGAACATAAATTTACTGTTTGGGCCCCTTTTATGCTTTTATAAAAATCGGTTTGCCTGTCTGGTCTGTACTGTCGAAACCTTGTTCGCAGTTAACGAAAGTAAGTGGGCCACTTCTGACAATATTTATCTTATATACACTGTCTAAACACTATTTATCTTTGGCACAAGTTCATTAAAAACAACTTCAGGCAATAAACGTAAAAACGTCCCCAACAAAGATATCAAAATCGATTTTGTGTCATACTGTGGCATTTTTGGGCATGTACGGGGATCGAATCGCAACACGTTAAACATGGATTAAGTATGGCGTGCATTTAAAAATGCGCCTACCTCCATATTGCATATACATTATTTTTAGGATTCCTACATTACAACCTAAATATGCAATTTGAAGATTCGAAATCGATGCGCTTCATCCAACTTACGCCAGAGCATCTATCGTTAAGCTGCACTGCCTTACAATAATAAACTTGAAAATTTGATATAGTCGATGCCACGTTGAACTACAAGAAAATTACCACTTTTCCAAGCGCGATTTTCAGTCCGTAATCTAATATGGTGTTCTACCCCTCTCGATAGCCTTGAATAATCGATCGCTCAAAGACGTGCTGTCACCGCCTGCGCGTCTTCGCAGCTCGGTACCCAGAAAGTTATTTCTCGTCAAAGTTTGTTTCTTTATAGAACAAAGAAATGAGTAGATACTATCAAGATTCCATAAACTTCTTGTGGAATACCTATTACCTTAATTTGATCATAACTTACTTTCAATGCGTAGCGACATCAAGAAATACACGACAAGACAGAAACGTCATACTGATTCTTGCTACTACGAGATAAGTCCATTAGCGTGCATTTGTGCATTTTTTGATTCTCTAGTTAGTTTATGTACAGATAGAAACAAATGTTTGTAGAGCCCGACGGGGTCCCCCCCAAATATCGTTATATTTACCAAGATGGCCAATGTCATCCGTATATCATATATGGCTTGCTAAAATGCGTCGCCGTGTTTTTGAACAGAAGTTCAAGAAGAAGAATCTAGCTCATTTGTTTTATTTCGGTTGTAATTAACATTTTTGTGCACGATGTTTCCATCCGGATTGCTCTGCTAAACCATTTTTGTTCTTAGTCGTGTTGTTTGGAAGATTTTTCGTTCGGGAAAAATCGCTTTCTCAGTACTAATCAATTTCAAGTCGTTGCGTTTGTCCAGCAAACTTCTGACAAGTTATCGATGTGCATTACTAAGTTAAGTTCACCACCCTCATTATTCAAAATTTATAGAATACTAGACATGTATATTAGGAAATACGAATACGACAACGTAAAAATAAGGCAGTGACACCTAAGCCTCGTGAGATAATAAATTTCAAGTCGGGATTTCCTGACTGAAGTTAGGCATATGTTATTTATTTCTATTCTCTGCACAACAACGGTAAGTTCCAAATAAATGTAATTATCACGAAGTAAATTTAACCTCGTATGGACCAGATAAATGTCTCACTATAGCACTGCACACTTCGATTTCAAGATTATATTGATATTCAGGCATATGAAGAAAAAAAGAATATTTATCTGTGAAACGAAGACGTCTGGAAGGCGTTGAAAATGGGGTTATTTCGTTCTGAATTAGGTTCCGTTGGGGTATTAATTTAACGTTCGTGTACTTGTTTATATAACTATTATTCATATTCGGACTTATGACAGAATATAATTAGACATGGAATTAAATAATCTAAAATTAATTTCATAATAAACGCTTATTGTAGTATCTTGGTCAATTGTCTCTTCAGTGTCACTTGGTGGAAACTTCATAAAATGTAACCCGTCGTTAGATGTCTACCTTGAGTACTCGATTTATATATTGCTGTACTGAGAAAATTCAAGATTATCAGTACCGAAATAAAACTTGTCCTACGATTTTATCTTCTTCAGATCAACACATAGAAGTATAATAGATACATAAATTGTCTAATTTGAACTTTCCGAACATATCAAGTCTCTACGGAAAATCCATAGTCGTGATTTGAATCATACGGTAAAGGTATAATATTATCTCAACACGTTAGAAGAATTATATGTCATCATAAAGGAACTTACACCTTGGCATCAACTGGGTGACTCGCAACGTGTTTTCGTATAATTTCCACTATCAAAAACGTATAATTTATACGAATTGAAATATATATAATATTTTCTTCATATCGACGGGATACTTGCTGCTGTTTCTTATCTGGAAGTTGCTAAATGCAACACATGGCCTGTGACAGTTCACAATGTAGTTTATCCTCTACACAAGACGATTTTTGATAATGAAAACTCAAATCGAAAATTATTCATTGATCCATGGTATTCCATTCTCGAAAATATTTTTTGCCTTCGTCCGAAACATAATATTTAATTAGTTTTTTTGATCAGGAAATTGTTTATGGCCTTGTCAACAAGGGTTTGGTTGTATTATGCGTAAAATAACGTATGAAAAGAGTGCTTCAACTTCATGCTGTTACAAAAATCTCTGAGGAAACGTCTTTGAGAACGGCTTTTTACTTCTCATTTATTCTATTCTTATAAGCAAAATGGAACGTTCTGTCGCGCTTTCGTGTTTTGTCGACAGATTGGTGTTTAAAATTGACGAGTTTTCAGTTATGGAACTTGAGCTAAGTCCAAATCAAGACATTTTCAGGTAAAAAAGACCGAGAAATAAGGGGAAAAATAATGAATAAATTTGCTTCGACTGAAAGAACCCAAGTCCAATACGAGATATGACTTGCGTCAAGTGGAATCATTGTAACCGAACTTAATCTAGAAAAATTAAATTAGATATTCGAAATGCAAATTCTTGAGTATGCAGCAGCATGTAGTTTTTTGTGTAATATGATTTGTGCTGAAAGGAATGCGTTTTTTAAGTCAAGTAGAAAATGTGGATTCACGATGATACAATGAATTCGGAATTTCCATC